AAGAGAAACGGGGAGAAGGAGGACGCAAGTATTGATAGACGAGAACACAACTGAAGTGGGTTAAGTGAGATGTCTTAATCTGTGTACATCCCACTGTGAAGGGAAGTGCTCACTCTGAGAGGAGAGGCCACCCTTAACACGCACACCATCGCTCAGTCCAGTGTGCTTCATTCACTTAAATGTGAAGCTGGCAAGGAAACAGACGGGTCCTCTGAAGAGGATCCTGCCTCAGAGGAAATGTTTGTGCTCCAATCAAAAAGCTTTTAAGTTTCAGGAAACTTCGGACTTTATCAGCATTGTGTTTGAGTAATAAATATCATTCTTAGAAGACGGATGGGCTTTCAGTGGCTGGACATGTCCGTTTGTGCTCAGGCTGTCCAGCTGAATCACCACAATCCGGTAGTCTGTCATCAATACAGTGAACAGAAAGGTGCTAAAGAAAACTGTAGAACCACCAGAACTGTAGTTATAGAAATCATTGGGCTCTTTTTATGAGGAAACTCATCACCCCACTTTTCCACAGAAACGCCCCACCTGGCTCAGGACCTTGAGGACCGCAGCGTTACTGTCGGGGAGACGGTGGCGCTGCAGTGCAAAGCTCTCGGCAGCCCGCCCCCGCGCATCACCTGGCTGCACAACGACCAACCGCTGCGCCCCTCCGACAGACACCACTTCACGCCGGGAAACCAGCTGCTTGTCATCGGCTCCGCCTTGCTGAAGGACGCCGGGCGCTACACCTGCCTCATGTCCAACACTCTGGGCACAGAGCGCGCCCACAGCCAGCTGGTGGTGACTGAGCGCAGGAACGCTTGCGCCACGCCGACAGGTCCGAGCACCGTTACTATAGGGATCATCGTCATCGCTGTGGTTACGAGTATTGTGGTGACATCGCTGGTGTGGGTGTGTATCATCTATCAGACGAGGAAGAAGAGCGAGGAGTGCAGCGTGACCAACACAGGTGAGCTCAGAATGACTTCTTGTTGTTTTTTTTAATTTGTAAGTTAAAAACACATTTAACCTAAAAATGAAGAAACCATTAAAACTTCATGCAGCCCACAGTTCTGGCTCTGATGTCTGCCTCTTTTCTCTCTCCCAGATGAGACGATCGTTCACCCAGATGTATCCAGCTACCTCTCCTCCCAGGGGACTCTGTCCGAGCGGCAGGACATGTGCATCCGTGTGGAGACCGGCGGTGGCCCTCAGCCCAACGGACACGTTGTAGACACCACAGGTACCGCTAAAGTTCGCTCTCTGCTTCCAAATGTTTGCGCTCTCCCCGGCAGTTTCTCCCACGTCCCCTGGTGGGTTACGTAATGATGAGACGAGCGCTGCTGTAAAGACCTGCTCAGTGTCAAAAATAATCACAGGAGACGCTCTCAGCACAATGTTGACATGCAGTTGTTGACTTTCAGCCTCCAAATCATTTATTTGTTTTCTTCCCGCAGGTTTTGACAGCGCAGTGCTGTGCACAGATTGTATGGAGAATGGCAACAGCTACTCCAAAGATCCCGACTACCTGGCACACGGGTTTGGTCCTGCTGCAGGCATGGAGTACCAACAGCAGCTTATTCCACCACCCTACTCTTACTGTTACCCCGGGGAGCAGCACGACACCGGGTCACACACAACCCCACTCTGCAATGGGACCCCCAGCAGGATCCGAAAGAACTCTGAAGGATCAGTGTTTCCAAAAAACCATAATACAACACTGAACCAACACGATAGAAAAGGTACGGTGATTAGTGTAGTGAGTTTAACTGTACTTATCCAGCCTTATCCCATAAATCCACTACTCTTCTTAAAGCTCCACACTGCCCTGCTGGAATAACAGTTTTATCAGGTGATGCCATGAGAAGCTATCAGCCATTCTGGAGTCTTCTTTCTGCAAGTGCCTTTGAATGTGATCTTTGATGGATTGTCTCCTACCAGCATCTGACACTGTATCATAGTTACATGCCCAGAGCCCCTCAGGATATGTATCTTTAAAAAAACCCAGGAGTGACTTCTCCCTCCTGATGATGCACGCCCAGGCTTGTTCTGGGCTTCAGCTCCTTTAGTTATATAGCAGTGGTATTGGCCTTTGAATACCAATTCTCACCTCCACAATGCTCTACACACACATTCCACTGACTCGCTTTCTCCCAAAGCCGAGCACATATTTGTCTTTGTGCGTGCCACGTCACTGACCCCGCCTGTTCCTTCTCTGTTTCAGCAGTGAGCAAAGCGGGGCAGACCAAGACATCGCAGGAAGACTCCTTCCACAAGCCGGTGAAGCTGGCCGGCGTGACGAGCCACGGACACATCGACACGGACTGCGAGCCTGAGCTCAGGCAGACTCTGCTGTCCAATGGACACGCCCTCAGAGCCTCTCAGAATGAGAGCGCCTCTCTAAGGAGAGCCAGTGACTAGCAGCCCCAAAAATGTGGACCGATATATACAATTTTTTTTTTCTTGCACTGGGAAATAACCTGCTACCTCATATCGAGGCAAACGGTCCCGAGCCTCCTGCATCTGAACTGACGGAGGAGAGGAGGGGGGAGGGGCATCCGGAGTTTGAAGGCGGAGCTTGTGTGGGGGGCGTCCCATCTGAGCGTATCAGCTGTACATAGTTAAAAACCTTCCTTTGGGAGGTGGCCGCTAAAAAAAATAAAAATAAAAATTTTAGCTGCAAAAAAGAGAAAAAAAAAAGAAGAAAAAATGTGACTTGCATTTGAAGCATGTAAATGTAGGGAATCTTGTACAATATGTATGTGCAGGGGGACTAAAAAGAGAAATATGCCTTTTGGACTTTTTTTTGACTGTACATAAGAGTTTTCTTATATATTATATAACTTTTACAAAAAAGAGTGTTTAAATATATGTGCATGGCAAAGAAAGGAGTGATGGTATTTTTATTTTTCTTACAACAAGAAAAAAAACAGCCTTTTTTCAGCTTTTACCAACATTCAGCTGCAGTGCCTTATTGCATGATCAAAGAAAACTCAAGTTGTAATAGCATATATCCAGAGACTGTTTCTGTGAGAGATCCTGGTACACTTTTTATCGCAAACAAAACACTTGATCGCACTTGAATGTTTTACCTTTTTTTTTTTTTTTTTTTGCCAGCTATGGCCTTACGGAAACAACTCGCACCACCGTTTTTGTATGAAGGAAGAGCTCGGATGCTGATTATTTAGGTACGTTAGATGTTGGTGCGAGTGGTGGGATATCAGTTAAAGCACTTTTTTTTTTCTTTTTTTCACTTCACAAACATGCAGACTGTGTGTACACGATCCACCGGCAGGAATGCAGGAGCCTCCTCTCTGTGAGGAGACGTTCCGCATATCTTGACGCACTAAAGTCAACAGTACATACTGTACCCTTAAGGCTCTTCCACCTGTTTCACAACACTACACGTTTACTGCAAAGCTGCTCTGATCGGGTTGGGATGAATGCTTCACGTGTTTTAAAGAGGACTTATTATGCTTTTTGGTATTTCCTTTTCATATGCAGATGTACGTGGAAACTGTTACAGTGTTGGATGCTCATATTAAACATAGCCAAAGTTTTCACATAACGAGGTCAGTGCATGTAGAAGTAATCCCTGTGAGCCCAAAGCTCAGGCTTCAGACTGCTCGGTTTTCACCCACCTGCTGTTCAGACACTGTTTGCCAGAGGATGATTTGAGGGGGCTGCACTTAGGCCCAGTGTACAAACCTAAATAATTGTTTTGAACTGTGAATCGTGCAAAGCTGCTCAAGTCAATGCCAATAATAATAACAACAATAATAATAATAATTTTTACAAAATTATATAGATATAGATATATAGATGTATCTAGAGAGAGAGTGAGATCTGCAATAAGCATAATAGGTCCTCTTTAAGTTCGATTTTTTTTTTTTTTTTTAATTTGTCCCAGAAAGTGACTTTGGTACAATTCTGCAACCACATGTGGCTGCTAACAGCTAACAGCTGTTGCTTAGAAGCTGCAAAAGCCAGTAATAATCTCTCAGTGCAACTGCGTGACACCTGTCATGAGTTACAGCCCACATTCATAACCGAAGCTGAAATTTTTGGACGTTTAATTGGCCGGCTGCCCAATTGGTTTTTTTTTCTCTTCTTTTTAATAATAAAACCTGAACGCTATGAAATTAGCAAAAGATGCATTGTGATGTTGTGTCATTCAGTTACTGCTGTAATATGGGTCGACATCCGGGGGGGAAGCTGGGGTACGGGGTGGTGCATTTGGGAGCAAAAGATGGCCAGTACTCCACCTGAATCACTGCAGTTCAGTAATAACGATTCATGCCTGAGGTGGATAAAGGTGCAGCTCGCTCCTGTGAACAGTTAGGGAGGCTTGTGAAAAGTGCTCTAACCAAACTTTAGGGGGTGAACTGTCACAGTCCCTGAATACTTTGGTACCATTCAACATGAATACACCAGCGGCCTTATCAAGGTAAGCTGGAGGACATGCTCCTCTGGTTACACCTGACAGCACTTACTGAGGTGATTTTTACCAGCAAGACCAATCAGAGAACTTGTTTTGTTTTTTTTTTTCTTCTTCTTTGTTTTTTGGACTTTGGGAAAGCAACCCCCGTGTAGTAGGTAAAAGGGACTCGAAGGAGCGAGGGTGCAGTTCATATCCTGAGTAATTTATTAATGCAGACTGTCTGAAACCGTTGTCCCGATGTCAAAGTTAAAACAGTGAAGTGTCTAACATGGCATTGAAGTGTCTAATAAAAATCCCATTTTGCTATTATTACAAGTGTTGGGCCTGTTTTCTTGCTCATAAAAAAAAAAGCACACACACATAGGGAGGATGTTTCGACAATATCACAAACAGCTGAGTTAGCATTTAACGCCGCTCTCCTGTCACAGCGGTTATGGAGAAGCCATCAATTCAAATGGAGCATGCACAAAGACATGAAATCCAGAGTCCTTGATCTTCAAAGTAGTCAAGTAGACACACACACACACACACACACACAGAAAGCTAATCTTCCAACCAGGAATGTCTCTTGGCTCCTTGGAGCTGCAAAGACAGCAGGCTTTTTTTCCCCTTCTGCGGGCTGTTAAAAATATTTGCTATTGAGTCGAGTCTGACTGAAGGTCAGGATGTGCATTCCAGATGGACGTTTGTCACCAGATGATTGACGTGCCCCTGGCCGCGGCCTCCACCAATCACACTCCGACCATTGTTGTGCTACAGCCTAGTGACAAGCAGCATGACAAACAGTCCCACCTGTGAGGACATTTGTCTCTTCGTGCAGTTTTACCTTCCAGACCGGCTGCTGACAGATGAGAGGAGCTAATTCACTGAAAACACACTGATACCTAACTGTTCTTCCATATGCCAGCGAAATAATCCTTCAATAAGATGTATTGGAGTATTTTTTATTAAGTTGTCCTCTTCTTTTAAAAGCCTGAGGAGCAGGGAGGGGGTGCATGAATACTTGTAAAATTGACAATGGCCACACTGGAAATCACATCACGCAACAATTTAAATGAAACTCAGAGATTCTCTCATTCATTTCCAAACTTTTCTTATATCTCGTCCTCGTGGCCGGGTCGCGCAACACTTCTGTGGTCCAGGAGTTGGAAACCGCTGCTCCAATAAACAAGATCAAAGCCGGAGTAAAAATGCACGGCCTTACCTCCGCTTGATCCAGTCATGCAGATCGGTTCAGCTGTGGGACTGGACCGCTGATATCACACAACCTCAGCAAACAAAATCAAAACCATCTGCTTAAATGAAAGAGCAGAAAATGAAGCTTCTTTGTGAAATCTGGTGTGCTGACCCCTTCAGTGAGTGTATCAGAGCACAAGTGATGTATATAGCCACCAAGATACACATCTTTAAAAAAGAAAAAGTTAAAATCAGTATGTTTACCAGTTTCATGACTTCTAATCAGGTCGATCACTTACTCCAATTCTGTTTGACTTGAATGTTTGTACATCGTGGACAATGCAGTTGCTCAGAGCGTCCCACAACATACAACTGCCATAAGAGGAAAATAACTGCCTTTCAGCACCGCTAATGTGCAGCACTTGACATCAAAACATGGAGATGTTAAGCAAGTGCAGACTTTCAGAGAAGCAGCCATTTTTTATGCAAACTACCCCGTTTTCAGAAACTCAAAAAGTCAACTGGTTTATAAGCAGGTTTCTAGCCCATGAAGCCCATTCCTTCTTTCTCTCTTTACAAAATAAGCAGATAACAGATCTGGAGTGTTTGGTTGCTGTTCAGTCGAACTTCATTTGAGTTCCAAAGAGACACTGATACTTGTGAAGGAGGTCAACAAAAGGTTAAAAAGAAAAAAACCTTACACAAACCTATAAGAGAGACAGCAAAATGCTTAAGCAGTGGCCGAATCAAAAATCTGATCTATTCATAAATAAAAGATCTGAAGAGCCAGAGATGACAAAGTGCATGATTTTGTTAATTAAAGGCTTCTACTGTTCTGGGATTCTACAAAAAAAGGACAAAGAAAAGGCTTTTGCATGTGGATGAGGTCAGCTTTGCTCCAGCAGGATTGTAACAATGGTGAGATACTGCTGTGTCTCTCTGGTGGGCCTTTAAAGCAGGTGGCTTAGTCCAATAGAGAGGAGAAAACACTAAAATAATCATTAAACTATGCAGAATTCCAGAGAGTCAAAGAAAGCCCTAAACCTCACTCGAAAGATACAAAGACATCGTTTTTAATCACATAACTCATTCTCTCACAAACACGTGAAACATAAATGGTCCCAGTCACTGCTGACTACAATGACTGCGTTGTCCTAGGTGATACAGTGTTGCTTCATTTCAAAAAATTCTGTGGTGTTTTGAGTGCCTAATCAATAAGTATGAATGTGACACTCTGGGTAATGCAGTCATCCCCGTGAGCGTCTCCTCTCCGCCTCATTTCAAAGGACTCAGCAGGATGCTGGATCCTCCATTTCCAGAGACGATTTCCCTGCTGTTCTGGTTCTCTCCATCAGGTCAGGACTCAGGACAGTCACAGGTCGTGCTGCTATAGCAAAGTGCGGCGGACCTTCTCATAGGCTCCGAGGAAGATGAAACCGCCCGCGCTGATGAAGGTCATCCTCGGTATGCTGCCAGCAAACAGACTGGAGAAAGGGGAGAGAGCAATATGTGCTTCTTTAAAAAAAGATATCTTTGCAGCATTTGTCAAAATTGCAGTACAGTAATGCATTTGAGACGCTACAAGACTTTCTACAGCGCTTCTGTGCAGGAGGAATGGAGTCCTCAATATAAAGAGCAAAATGTCAGTCGACTAATGTTCGCTTACTGTCTAACAACGTAAGATTGCCTTGTTCGTGACACCCTGTTTGTGAGCTAGAGTATGTTTTTTAAAAAACAGAACACTTGGTGTTTCGTGCAGCACACTTCATCCGTATTTCAAGGGTGTGGTTAGAGGAAGAAGTAGATTTTCTTACACTCAGACGTGTGATCAGCTCTCATAAAAGTGTGCTGCAGCTTAAATGACTGCCATGAAAAAGCGCTGTGAAAGGAGGAGCCCGGAGCGTCTCGTGTCCAGCTCTGCACGGTGTTTGGGTGCAGAGGGGTCCATGAGAGCGCCTCAAACATGAGGCCATGTTAGTGAGCCACTTTCACAAAGAGCAAAGGCTGGGGGTCCATGTTACAGTGACCGAGGCTCAACGAGGAGCTGCTAACATTGGTGGTGGTCAAAGGATGTGATGGGCCATAAGAGTCTCCTAAGATACCCCCCCACCTCCTGCTACACACAGCTGTTTTTGGGATTAGGCTTCAAGCCTCCACCCAAGTCCTCTCTGGAGCTCTCACTCCCCCCACCTACCTCCTTCTCGCTCTCTCTACTCTCTCTCTATGTGACTGATGGCCAGATGACATCTGCACATGTCTCTCTGCTGTCCATCCATCCATTTCTCTGTCTCTCCGCTCAGCGTCGTCCCCCTCAGCTGGCTCACTTGTTTGGGGATTTCTCCTCCGACTCCTATTCTTGCTGCGTCATGCACTTCTGAGACACGTGCTCACTCGGTCCTGTCAGTTCATCCGGCTTTTTGTGTCCGTCTCTCCATTTATTTCCCCCCCCCGCTTCACTCCGCCTGACTTTCTCGCAGTGCATTTGCCTACCAACGCCTTCTGTCTGCCAACACGCGCCCACGCTCAGGCCCGGTCCAAGCCAGATGTAATGGATGAGAAGTATTGTGTGCTGTGCTGGTGGATGTGTGCTTGTGCTCGCTTGTGTGTGTGTGTGTGTGCGCATGCGCACGTGTTTGAAAAAAACAAAACAAAACTGTCGACGCATGCAACATGTCTGTCTCCATTCATCATCCGTGTGGGTGTGTTGGCACTTGTGTTCCTGTCCACTTTCATTTCCATAGAAACTTTTGAAATATTGCAAAGTTTAATTTGGTTTTCATCAGCCTTAAAAAGGCTTCTTGAATGCAAACACATCACACACACGCACAAATCAAAAGAGAAAGAAAAGAATTCTGAAGAGCTGACAACTTCTGGGCAACCTGACCAGGCCGGTTTTGTGCTTAGGCATCACATTTTTAAGGTTTCAGGTTTTCATAGAGAAGAAATTAAAACAGGACTTCCAGCTAGCAACTGAGAGGTAAAGTATGCAGATTATTTTCCATATCACATTTCAGACCTTCACCAGCTTCTGCTGCAGAGCCACCCAGTCCAAGATTTGCTATTACACACTATTAGAGGAAAAAAGAAGCTGTATTAATGACACATCTACTGCGGCGCTCCGCTGTGCATTTGCTATATTGATGTTAGCATTTAGCTCAAAGCTCTACAGTGCCTAACCATCGGCCCAGTGGAACAGAAGATCAAGAATAAACTTTGACGCTGAACACGAGGTCTTCCTACAACAGTCTCTGTGTAAGCTCTGTCATCTTCCTTTCAGTGCCCTACATGAAGCTTCTATTTCTGGACACACACACAGTTAAGTGCAGCTCTTTTGAGAAATTTGAGATCAGAGGCCATGACAGACTTCCTACTTATGATATTTTCACGTTGTCCGTTGTAAAGTTATACAAGTGTCCAAGCATGCCAGGGATCTTCCAAACATCCCAACCATTCACACGACTCCACCTTTAAGAATGCTCCGGCCTAGGTCGCCCGGTCTCAACAGACGGCTTAGCTTTGCATGGCTGGCTTTGATAAGTGTGTGAAACCGAGAGGAAGTTGGAAGTGTGAGAGACCTTATACAAGTGTGTTTATCCAAGCATGAACCGAACTGCTGCAAATAAACACGGGACATTAGTCAGAGGCTGTTGCCCTGCCCTTCGACGTGCTCTTTCCATCTCAGCACGGCTATCTATCACCATCTGCTGAAACAAAAGTCGCAGGCTTGCACCGGGGGAGTGCTGTGCATTGCTTACACCCTGATATCAAATACAATCCAAAGCTAATCAAAACCCACTGACAGAAGTAACAGAGGGCAGGTGGAGTGCCTAACGACAACACAGATCCCTGTGTATTCCACTCAACCTTCTCCATCATGTGATGGTCCGATAGCCGCGCTGCGAGGAATGAACTAATTTTAAACTCAGTGCTCATGTTTTGTCTCAGCTCTCTGCTGGCGTTACATTTCCTGTCTGGGATCAGGCGCACCTGTGGACGTCAGAGCAGAGCCAGAGCTCAAATATTCCCCCTGGGACCCCTCGACATCACGGCCTGGCCATCCACAGAGAGCCGTCATCCCCCTATTGTCGGCCAATCGCCTCTCCCGAGGAACCGGGCTAAATATAGTTTCAAAGCTCGGCAGGACAGTATGGAGGAACCGCTGTGAGCTCACGCAAAATGTTTTGGTTGCGGTGAAGAAATATGCCGGTGCTGCTTAAGAAGAGAGCGAGGGAGAAATCTTCAAATGTATCTGAAAGCAAATTTCTGGCAGACAGAATGCATTCCAAGAAAAAAAATAGCTGTACTCGGAAACTCTTTGAAAGGATAAATTTAAGAGGAAAGAGGACCGACTCTAACGTGTTTGGGTCTTCAACAAATCTGAGGAAGATCAATCTTTTTTATGTCCTTCTAGCAGGGAGTGGGTGTAGAAAAGTGGACGATAGCTGCAGAGACAAAAACAGACTCGAGCACACTTTCCCTTAAAAATCACTAAATAATCAGTGTCTGGAAAACAAATTACTCATCTGTAGTCACCCTGTTTCCTCTGTGTTATCTTTATCTGTTATATAACTATAACTGCAGTGAAGGTGGACATTTTTCATCTGAACAGATAGCACAAACCACTGAGCCTCTAACAAGCACTTTCTGTGCTGCACGGCTATGTTTTAGTCCAAAACTATATAAAAAAAGAAAAGAATAAGTGACATTTTCTTTTATAGTGTTCAGTTCTCGTGAGAGCTAACAAGTTTGAGACGTGGCTGAGGAATTCTGGAAGACAGAGCGCTACATGTATTTGATAAATCCTTGGAAATAACTCCCTTTGTAGTCAACACCTGTGCTACAGGCTGAATTAACATGGCATTCTAGTAAACATGGTTTCTCCCCACTTGTTGCAGAAGGAAACAACAGTCTGTAAAATGCTATTTAATCACTTCTGTGTTTCCTCAGCGCAGTGCCTAAGAAAAGTTTGACTCCAAAAGAATAAGACAGACACCTTTTCCCAGAAATCCTATCTAAAGCAAGAATGTTCTGGAGTCCTCGAGATATTTACGAGACAAAAACAGGGACAGGCTTAAATGATGGGCGGACAGCTGCTCATCATTGTGTCTTTGCAGCACAGCTTTACTGTTTCCTGCAACACAGCATGACTCCGCTCATGCTGTGTTGCAGGACCAATAACAGTAAAGCACAATTGCACTTTACCACAGGTTTCTGTGTGTGAGGTGAGAGCGTGTTACTTATTTGCTTTTCTTCTATTCTGGTTTGCACAAGGAGCCAATCAGAGAGCCTCGTGGACACGTTGCCCATTAGTGTTTATTTTGACATGACTCATAGCCGTGTTTGGTTATCCTGCAGGTTAGTGGGGTAGGCCAGTGAGCTGCACTGCTCTCTCCTAACCCGGGCTCTCTGGGGCATGGCACACACATGGAAGCACTTTAGAGCTTCACTACACAGCAATTGGGCCTATTACCATAATTACAGCTTTAAAGCCTCAGCAATCTGTATCAGGCATGCACCAGTGCAACCACCGGGCCTTTGGCCCTGTGGTAAAACAGACCCCCCCCACTCCTCCCTTTGTACTTAAAAAAAAACTTTTTAAACACTCTCCTTTGTTTCTGCATTTAATGTGTCTCTTAGCTACTCTCTTTGTTCTCTTTCTTCACCTTCTCTGGTTACATCGCATCATGAAGGAGAAAAAAAAGAGTGTTTGTCATTTTAAGCTTATGGTCCTTGTTCTCTGGGTGCAGCTGAGACACAGCTAAGCCCAGGATGATGATACAATGAGTAGAAGGAGAAGAAGAGGGAGACAAAAAAAAGATTTCCATGTGCTGCAGAGTTGGAGGCTTTAAACAGTTCTCCTGTGCTGCAGCAGGGACAGTGGGACTTGTAGTTAGGGTTTTTCCACGGGGGCCCGCCAACTATCAGCTCACTGAGATTTAATGAAGTCTCAGACGTGATCTTTATTAAAAATGATGCCCAGACTGTAACCAATGTTTGAAAGAGGTTTTTAGGGAATCACCCTTGGCTTTGATTGGATTCCAGGACTGTGTCCGCTAAAAACAAACACAAAATTTGCCTGTGTGTGCGTGTGTTCGCGAGTCAGGGAGGGTGGAGAGCAACATCCTACTAGCGTTTGGCCCAGCCCCAAACCAAATCTGCTGCGAGCATTACGTCGGGGTGCATCCCGATTAAACGATGGCAGCCTGTACACAAGCAGGCCTATTACTCACCGGGACTGAGGGTTTGTTTTAGTGCTGGCGGCCCTCTGTGGACCCCATTAGACCTGGCCTTTTGTCCAGTGCGCATCATAAACACATCAAAACACTTAAATAAACCCTTTCACTTGGCCCCTCGTAACACCTTAATCAATAAGGCGCTGCAGCAAGTCGTCAGGAAAAGCTTTTATACATCTCATTTTTCAGCCGTGGCTGTAAATTCACGCTCCCTGGAGGAACCGCTCTATCAAACTTGATTACGCGAGGGATCGGGAGCCGGGTTAAATCAAATCATGTAAAATACGAGCTTTCTAAAGTGGCCTGGGATAAAATGGTTTGTGTAAAGAGGCTGTTTGGTTTTAAACAATCACAAGGGTCTTTGAATGTTTTACCAAAATCGTGTGTACACACACACACACACGAACACACACTCACCCTGCAATGCCCCTACTCCTCCACACATCGTAGAGCACCAGTGGGATGTTGCCGCTCGCTGTGGTTGAGCCGGCCTGCAGAGAGGGAGAGAGAGGGAGTGAGACAGAAAGAGGGACCTGGAGAGCACAAATAGAGGTGCGATGACTGATAAATTGTCTCCTGTGCTTCCTGCTCCTCAGACAGACACCCTGTTTAGTCTTTCTTAGCCCAGCTTCCTCCAGCCTCCCCTTCCCCCCTCTTTCTGCTCATGGACAGCTGTGTCAGCGCAGGTGTCACCTCCAGCACCCGCTCAGAAACACACCCAACCAGCTGCCCACCCAAAAAAACACACTCAACAAGTTCTCCTTGTCTCCCTCTCCTCCTGCCAGTCCGGTCGTTTTATTTATACTAAACGGATTAGCTGGCCAGAGAGTTTTGAATCCATCAGCGTGGAGCGTCACAGGGGTATGAGAGCGGCACGATAAGGCCACATTGGGTTAAGTGATGGTGGGTGGCTTCAGTTTAAAAGGAAGGAAGATAAAAATGGAAGAGGCAGTTGTGAGATTCGAATAAGCAGGAGGAAGCTGAGCACAGGCTTGAGGAGTTTGTGTGTTGGTGTGCGCACAGCGATCCATGCTGCAGCTTGTTGAACATGTAGGAAACAGTCTGCAGCATCCGCTGTAAATCTAGAGTAGGATTCATGCTTCTTTTCTTCACGGAAATGGGAAAAACACCCCTATTTCTTGTGTTTCTGTTGGAGACAGGTGGCTGAGAAATGAATCCACCCCCGCCCCCTCCTCTTCTGGCTTGACAAGTTTTCTTTTCCTTTACTGCTGTGGAATGGTGGAACGAGGGAATGGAGGAACAGGGTGTCCAAAACACACACACACACACACACAGTACTTGTCTAACTTATGCTGACATACAAAAATATCTTTATGCATCTCAGTTTATGAGTTTCTTCTCACGATTCGTGTTTTTTTGTTGTCCAAATATAAGATTTAAAAGTGCTTCTTGATGTGTTTTTCTGGGTTTTCTGGCATCCACTATGCTTCCTGTGAAAAGTCTGAACAGTAACGGCTGCTCTATAAAGTGTTGACTCCTGTCTTTGCCACAGTTGGTTTCAGTGGATATTAGCAAACATGACACTGATGGCAGCACTGTGATGAACAGGCAGAAATCTCCAACTCTAAGAAGACCAGTGTTGTGCGGTAGCAGCATAGGAGGTATGAGGCAGCTCTGTGGTACAACAGGCACGCTGCCACTGCTGCAGGCAGTCCTGTCCTGGAGGGGCTTTGCTCCTCCAGCTGTGCCCTGGACGTCGGCCCGCCTAGGTCTCGGTTGCGCTAGGCTGCATACTGTACAACGCCAGTCTTTCATTCTGTGTCCTGTGGGAAGAAAACTGATGTGACAAGTTCCAACACCCAGTTTCCCCCCATAGCCCGGATCTCAAGCGTCCACAGTCAACACGAGCCCTGCTCTGTCTGTCTTTCTTCAACGCTCCTGCCTGGACTTGTCACCCACACGCTAAAGGAGCCAACCGAGCGACACCAAACCTGAGCCCCTAAAAATGCGAGTTTAAGATTACTTGAAAAATGGTCAAAAAAATCATATGTTGCATAGTTGGATCTTAACAAGGTTCCAAGTAGAGCTTCAACATGCAACAAGAAAAAATGGGAGTGAGACAAAACATTTTTTGAAAACAACGCTTAAACTGGAACAGGTTGTTTTACAGCTGATCAAAAGTTTAGGACCAAACCCGCCCTTAGTCATAAGGGATGCTCTCTATAACATCTGGACATAGCCAGCGGCCGTTTGACGCCCCTGCACCTCCTGATGCTCCGTTGTTCCACTGAAGGAAAAAACACCCCAGACCATTATGGCGCCCCCTCCACTGTGGCGCATAGAAAACATCTCAGGTGGGATCCGCTTGTCATGTCAGTAACATTGGAAACCATCAAGGTTACATTTTTTCTCATCAGAGAGTAAAACGTTCTTCCACCTTTTATTGTTCCATGTTTGGTGCTCTCTTGCAAAGTCCAAAAGTCAGCTCTGTGGCATTCAAGGAGATTTGTTTTTGAAGCCCTTCAGTTTCAGATGCCGTCTAATGGTTATGGGGCTGCAGTACCGGCCTTAATTTGGCTCGAGGATCGTCCGGTGTCTTGATGGACAGCCAATTGGATCCTCTGGCTTAGTGCTGGTAAAAATTTTTTGGGTCTTCCACTTGACTTCTTCGTTCCATAACCCCCAGGATCATTTAAGAAATTCCAAATAACTGTCTTACTGTGTCCCACCTCAGCAGTCATGGCGCGCTGCGAGAGACCTTGCTTATGCAGTTCAACCCAACCACGTTCAAAAAGGGAACGTTGTTTTGCCTTTGCCATCAGAACGTCATGACAGTGTGACTACCTGACAGAAAATGACAATGAATCCACATTTTTGCACAGATTTGGCCTTTTAAATGCATGTGGTCCTAAACTTGTGATCAGCTGTAAAACAGCCTGTTTCAGTTTAAGTGTTGTTTTCAATAAACTGCATGTTAAAAAAAAAAAAGTTTACTCACTCCCATTTCTTCTTGTTGCATGTTGAAGCTCTACTTGGAAGCCACCATGCAAAATATAGCTTTTTGCAGTTTTTCAAGTGGTCTTGAACTTTTGATCGGGACAGTATAAATTCTGATGTCACAGGAAATAATTTATAATTTTCACAAAAAATAGTTTACAATTTCATTTTCAGCACCACTTTAAGAACTGCCAGGACCACTGGTTGCTAATTTGGCTGACAGGAAATACATTACATTACATTAAATATGATGTTTTTCTGGGGTTGTTGTCCAGTAATTTAAAAAAAAATGCCAAAGATTTGTTGTTTCCAGGTTGGTGAATATAAACTCAATATCACAGCTTTAAACTGTTAATCATAAATAGACATTATTATCACTTTCTCCTAACTCCTAAACATAATGATTTGAGGTTACTGGAGAAAAAAATCTGCAGCTTAGCTTAGCGATTGATGTTCATGAAAATTGAGAATCTAGTATCTCAAATTATTAGAATTTTTCATTTAAAGTTTGACTAAATTACAATTCAACAGTATTTATACTCAAAGGCAGTTCAGTGCACGCCACGATGGGAAAGCCTGCTGACCTAACCGTTGTCCAGATGATGATAATGATCACTGACACCCTCCATGTGTAGGATGTTAGCAGAGTGCTGTGCTGAAGAATAAAAAGCAAGTGGACTGGAAGGGGAAAGTGTGGCAGGAACCAGCACAAGCTACAACAACCACTGCTGCTCAGCGGCCCAAAGTCTTATTTTCAGATCAAAGCACATTTTCACTTTACTGAAAAACAAAGGTCCTGGAGTCTGGAGGAAGCATGCAGAGGCACAGAATCCAAGGTGTTTGAAGTCCAGCGATTCATGCAGACTTTTCACTTCAATTTAATATTAATTCTACAGCACCAAATTACAACAACAGTTACCTCCAGGTGCTTTATATTGTAAGGTAAGGACTCTAAAATAATACAGAAAAAACCCTAAGGATCAGATTAGCCCCTGTGAGCAAGCACTGGGCGACAGTGGGAAGGAAAAACTCCCTTTGAACAGGAAGAAACCCTCCAGCAGAAGCAGCTTCAGGGAGGGGCGGCCATCCACCACAACCAGTTGAGCGTGAGAGGAGAAAGACAAGACAAAAGACACACTGTATAAGAGAGCTGGAGATTAATAATCACTCATTTCTGAGATATTGCGTTTCTGATTGTCATGAACTGCAAGCCATCATCCTAAAATTTAAAACAAAAAAGGCTCAAAGTTATTTCACTTTACATGTCATGAATATAGCATATACGAAAGCTTACATTTTTTGAGTTAAGTTACAAAAAATGAAAGTCTGAGATGCACACGTGTATTTAATCCTCCTTGTAGTAAAGTGGATGTGGACAGACTTTAAACAGGAAGTAGAAGCGCTTTAAACGGTATAGCAGCACATTCTCGTTTCACTCTCCTTTTCTAAGCTCACCTGTGGCGCCTTTAGTGAATCAAAGACTTGGCCTTATAAAGTTATAACTGAAACTCGATGCAGGCCAAGTCCTCTGCTGGTGGTTAACTTACAGCAGCTGTGTTTCAGATAATGTTTACAGGAAGCTTCTGTAACACAGTGTTCCATCTACAGCCAACGGCTTCTCACCAGAGATCAAGACTGTCGGAGTCTTATGTTAATTCCAGTGTCTCATTAGTTAGGACGGGGTGGGAATGGAACACTGTGTCTTCTCCAAGGACAGTGTAAGTGTGCACGTGTGTGTGTGTGTGTCTGTGGGGGGCCGATTGAGGTTACTCTGAACTCACTACCCTTTATACACACACACACACACACACACACAGGACAAAGTGAGGGAAGCCAGACATACAGTTAGAGCGAGCCAGAAGAGAAAAAAGGTGGCTAGGAGAGGGAGGAAAAGGAGGAGTCGCAGAACACGAGGATCGGGGGGGGGGGGGAATTAACCGGAGGGACAACGGACCTCTGCTTCACCTCTCAGTGACAAGCAGCCTTGGGATGGAAATTCTCCTGAAGTAGTAACATGTCCACACTCTTAACACTAACCATTCGCACAAACAGCGTCTTCCCGAAATGGTCCATATTCCAGGTGAGGTGATATATGTGCACATAGGTGTCACCAATGTCCCGGCGCTACCTCGGCCTGCTCCGGTCCTGCATGCTGACACTGTCAAAACGTGCTCACGACCACTGCGGGGGTCGCTCAGCTCCCCGCCTGCGAGGCATCACCTGACAGCAGTGTTTAAGAATTCGCTGCCAGAGGAGGCGTTGTGCTGTGTGGCCGTGTTTAAAGTGTGTATACCTTTGCGAGCATGATCCTGGTCTTTGCCACGTCAAGAGGAGCGGTAACAAACGCGGCTACTGCACCTGCAGAAAGACACACAAACGTGCTCAGCAAAGTGCAAACATAAGAGGCCCTTACTCTATGCTCTCAGAACAGACTTTAAATATTACAAATAAACCCATAAAAGAGACCAATTACTTAACCACAGTTACAGTAATGTATTAATTCAGCAATAAACACAAGAACTATTGGCCCTCAACTCCATTAAGTTCATAAAATCATAATATTCCAAGTCTCAGACCTTCCCCTGTTATTAGACCACAAAAACCAGAGACGCGCTTCTATTCCCAGCTCCCCCTTTTCTACAGCTTCGTCCAGCCTACGTCTTCCCCTGAGCTATAAACACACACACACACCTGATTATATGCACATGCATGCAAAAAAAGCCACGCAGACCCCCTAAAACACACACTCCCTCCTGTGAGCTTTATAGAGAAGTTCCACCCCAAATTCCCTCCCAACACTCCAAGTTGGAAGCTGGATAGGCAGCAAAATCCAGAGCAGTCTCCAGTGAGCAGAAGAGTGTGTATAACTGAGAAAGTGTGTGTTACGTGTGTGTCGCCCTGACACAAACATAGCAACTGTTCTTGGTAAACATATCTATATGGGCCACTGAGGAGCAATGTGACTGTAAGTGAGGTGGAGCTGCAGGAAAAGCGCGTTAGGGTTTATAGTTAATAGCTAATTATAATAGATGGCTTTTGTTCTCTGCTGTGGGAGGGGGATAAGTTCAAGAATAAAACAGCACAGCTGTCTTACTGTGGCATGCTTTACTACGATTATCCCAATAAATAATATCACATGTCTAGCGCTCAATTAAATAATCTACACTTGGTAAGTGGGGGACGTGAAGGTGATGAAGGTGAGTGATATGATGGTGTCTACACAGGCTGAAAGCTGCCATAAATCAGCGCAGGATACTCATAGAGATTTCTGGGATGATTAAACACGCCTGTGTGAGCATTTCCAGCGTCAAGCAGCTTATGTATGAGTGAGAGAGAGTGAGTGTGAAGCGCAATGTTAGGGGAAGTGACTGAAACTTGAGGATCCCTCTTGGACAGCAGCTTGGTCACGTAGGGACGTGAACTTGACTCCTACCCTGGACCCACAGCACCCTGCCCCCCTGCCCCCCCTTCACCCCACATTGTTCTCTCTACAAATACATATTGTCAAACCAATGACCAGGCCGCCTGACTGCTTAAATACTCAAATACTATTTGCATATAGTGAACAGCGCAGTCTTGAGCCACTGATTTTGTATTATTTCATGAGGAACTAACGAAACAAGGAATTAGGTGCAGCAATTTGACATCATTCACAATTACTAGGTGCACGAGAGGTTCAAGCCAGCTCGTGCAGAAATCCTTCAATAAATCCAAACGGGGTTTCCTCTTTAAAATGACACCCACTGTCACACTTATTTCTCTTGAAGCATCTCTATCTACAATCTTCCTTTCACTGAGACCACAGCCCAGATGGGGGATGGCTAAAGGCCACGTCCTAATTCCTCAGAGTGCTGTGTTGTGTGTTTTCTCTAAATCAGCCACACTTCAATCTCAGCATCACCCCCCCCCCAGATCACCTAACCACCATCTTCCTGTCCTGTCTGGCATGCTGTAGCATTTTAAGAGTTATGGACTGAAAGCTGTAAAAGTCCAATAAATGCTCCACAGACTGGACTACAGAATTGTTCTTTTGCTGAAATATGTCTTTACATTCAGGTTTTGATTTTTTTATCACAAAAAATGCAAGACTGGGTGGAAAGACAGATGGTGCTGCAGATTTTCTTCCATGAAGGACAGCGCTGCCGCTATATGGCCCCGGGTCGAGATTTCTCTCTCTGGTTACACTGAAACTCCAAGTACGGAAAGTCACTATAATAAATATAAATAATAAATAAACAAACAAAACTCTTTAAAATGATAACTGAGTATCAGTTTTACAAACTCTATTTAGTATAAGCCTGTCGTGTTTCACAGTTCCATTTATTCTCCAATTGAATTGAAACCCTACATTTAATTACAACTAGTACAAAAACAACATGCAGTAAAATGTATAACCTCCTGAAAATGTTTTGTTTCGTTAAATTTTGTAAAATCTTTGTAAAAAAACAAAACAAAAGAATTTTCCAGATCTGGGATAAAGAAGGTGCATCAGTACCTCATTTATTAAAAAAAATATTCTCATTGTGAATTTTGTTCTAATAAACTGTCTAATCTCTCTCTCCCTTTCTTAAAGCAGCTTAGGCTCCAGTGCCCAGGATGTCACAGCGCTGCAGGGGCGCGTGGCCAGAAACGGCTCCATCTCATGCTTCCCGTCCTTTCCTCTGGTTGTCTGTATATCCCACTCACCCAGATCAAGACAGAACCATAAAGTCTGCAGTGGAATAATAGTCACTGGCTGAATGAGCCGACAACTGTGATAATGTGACTTTTCTGTTGTGGAAACAATCCAGGATCAATGCACAGATGACTGCCAGTTTAATGCCATCTGTGTGTAAGAAAAATACTGGAATTAATTTTCTCATTTTCTCCTTAGTCGTCTTTAGCAAATCCCGGGTGGAGGAGAGAATGGGATTTGTCTGCAGAGCTCACACTTGAGAAACCTTGCAATAATGTGGTTTTGGGTAAACTTGTGCTGCCCTTCTGCCCATCTATTCACCTATCCTATCTAACATCCATCTGTCCGTCCATCCATCCATCCCAAACCCTTTCCCTCCCCTCCTCCCTCTCTGCCTCTTTCCCAGCACAGCATATAATCCCCTGCACCTGCAACAGCTCCACACACTGCTGACTGCCAAGAGTAGAGCGTGTGACCTTGCCTCGACGACCACAGAGTCTGGGAGAAAGAGAAGAAATGTCAAGAGAGAGGGTTGTAGATAGAGGAGGATGATGAAAGAGAAAGAAAATGGGGGAAGAGGAAGAGAAACAAAGAGAAAAGAGAGAGAGAGAAGACTGCAGTTAGTGGGGCTATCAGACACATTGAAAACATATTGTGAACCTTGGTCTGGTCTGGGGTTTAGAGCCCACAGCTGGGAAATGAGCTGTCCTGCTATTTTTGTGTTGCCTTTTCTCCCCAGTGATGTCATGCTACTTGTTTCCCAAGAAGTGGTGTGGGATAAGAGGGAGGCAAGAGAATATACTTAGTACAACAGGTCATCTCATACTCAGATATTCAGTATAATTATTAAATTATATTAGGATATACTGACTCTTTAGTAGTTTTACACCAGGAGCTCAAAATCAATGTACTGGCCAAGCAGCTGTGTCAGTAAACTCTTACTTAAATGCTTCTTTACATATTTCATGGAACATCACAGTAGCAGATTTATTCTTAATGAAAAGATGGTTAGAAGTGTTTCACTATTGTCTTTGCATTTCTAATTTTTTTTATTTATAATAGAAACCGCTTATAAAGGTATTACTAACATACTAACACATAGTGGGGAGTATTCTAAATCCTCTAATTAGCACTAAATACTAAGTAATGTTAAAGGTGCTACAGGTTACAGCCTCAAGCTGTACTTAGCATTTAGCGCTAATTAGCAAATGTTTAAGCTAACATACTACACATTAGCCTGCTAGAACACTATATTTGCTAAATAGCTTTAAATCTCTACAGGTGTTCATCTCAGACGAATGACTTTATAATTTATTTATTTTGTGGCCAATATACTCATTAAAGCTTTCTTTATATAAATGTTCTGTTCAATATTGGTATGCAAAATGTTGATGTTGTTGGTAAAACTGTCCAAGGTACTAGCCTGCGGTTCTTTTTCAAATTTCAAAGTCGGTCAAGGATACAAATTTTGGTGACTGTTACGTCTCCACATACAGTGAATGTGAAACAAATGCAAAATACCCCACAAAAACAAAACAAAACAAAATAAAAAAAACAACACCTTAATTAGCTTGTTATTAAGGTGTGGCTAACTCATAACCAACAACAGCCTTAGCAACGCTATATGATACTAAACACAAAAGCTTGCATGAACTTCACAATATCCAACATAAACATTAAAAACATTGAATTAAATTAAATAAAAACCCACAAATATCTCATACAGTAAGAATGGATGAAAATCCCCCCAAAAGAACTGAGTGACTCACCAGCCAAAAAAAGCCTCAGTAGGTTTTTTTTCTAAAGCAGATGTTAAAAAAACTGACCATGACAGTCCCTAAACTTTTCTTTTTTTGTTGTAGTATTTGCAAATACCAAAGAAATGTTGAATCTTTAACTTTATGTTTACTCAGCACTGAGGAAACTTTTGCATGCAAGGACGGTTTATGTAATTAAACTAGATTTTTTTGTGATTGGAGCTGTATTTATTCTTCCTCTGAAATATCCTAAAAAATTTGAAAATTATTTTAGCGTTGCAATTTTACAGACTGAACTACACCGACAAACAGCCCAGAATTGTATCAATAGAATATATTGTTTATATTATATAGACAAGTGTATTTTCAAGTACTTACTGTGTATAAAAACTCTCACAGTTAAGAGTGGCTACTGAGTGAAACCACCTGATGTTTCTGTTTTAAGATTAAAGTCAGGATGGGAAGGGAGGATGTCTCTTTTTCTGCCCTTACCAGTTTTGGCAATGGGGCGAGGAGCCCAACTCTGCAAGGTTAGCCTGCATATAAAATACATGTGGACAGCTGGGCTGCCTCTGGTGCTGCAAGTAATGATTACTTCTCAGTGAGAGCAATTGAGCAACAGCATGGAGTGATTACTAATATTTTCTTTGTCTATTCACTCCTTCACAAGTTGAATCTGTTTCATGTTAACTCATTCTACTCTTTTTCTTGCACACGTGTGCACAAAGACTGTGTGTGTGTGCATACACAAACAAGTAAACACAAAGAGAAAGATAGAAGGAAGAAGCAAAGGCAGAGACCGTGATTGAGCTCAGGATATGTCATGTGTATTTCATTAGAGGGCAGATTAAAAAGGAGATTTTGTTTTCCACATCAAAGGCCTCACGCTGGGGGATTCCTCTGTTTCTCTCCTATTCCAACTCTCCCCCTCCCTTACTGCCCGTTTCATGAATAAATAATAAGGAGTAAACCTGGGAAAACAAACTTTTTGACCTCTGAACCCTTGTGTCAGGATCAGCCTTTGCACCTGGTTGCCTTCCCACAGGAAAGAGGGCGGTGGGTCTGTGTATATCACGTGTATGTTAGAATTTCTGTCCTGGGAAACTGCCTTTAGTAAAGATGCAGTGCTGTGCAAAAGTCTTGAGCCATCCCTCTTTAAAAAAAACAAACAAACAATATATCTTATTAGGAAAATGGTAAATAGGTGCAGGGGTTAAAACGTGCAAAACAGAAGTGGAAACACAGTATATAGTGTAGCAAGCTTGAAAGTCAATATGACCACCTTTAATTTTCAACACAGCTTTCCTCTAATTTCCTTAAGTAGCCTTCAGGAATAGTTTATCAAGGCTGAAGGACATTTAAAGCTTTTTTTGGATGTTATACGCATTTTGTTCCGTCACCAACCCCCGGGCCGGTCCGTGACTCGTTTGGTACCGGGTACCAGTTGAGGCTCGGGTGTGAAATTTATGGTTTTCAGGGTTTTTAGCATTAAGTCGGCTTCCCTGGGTCTTTTCCCGTGTTGTAGTTGTGTGTCTTATTTTGAAAGAAATGTTTACGCATTACCATAGCGACTGGACAGCATTAAGGGGCAGAGAAGAGGATGTTACTCTCAATGTTGTTGGCGCATTTCAGAAGGACGCTGCTAATAAAATTACACAGTGAATTTGCGTTTATTATTATATTTACAAAATACCACAGTTTTTGTCTTGTTCATTTTGTTTTGTTGTACAGTGGTCCCTCGCTATAACTTTTTTTGGGTGCAATTTTGCGTGATTTATTTTTTCTTACAGCGCATTGTGTTCCGTTTCCTGATTGGCTGTAGACCGTTGTCAATCACTGTCAATCTCGTGCCGTGTCTCCTTTACAGTACAGAATGTTTCAGCTTGTCAAATTTACATAAATTGTCGATCGCTAGCACTGTGTCTCTGAAGTGCTGCATTGTATGTTTGTAAGTTGTCTCCCCAACAAACACAACAATGTCGACGAAACGTTTTGCACACTAAGGCAACTGCGTGTGCCTTTGGTTTCATTCTATAATACTGGACTTATTTTTCTACGAAGGTTTGAACATTGAAAGCGTTTAAACAAGAGAGAAAAGTGTGAAAATGTTCATGCCTTTCTGAGAAAAGTGTCTAAAGTGTGTAGTGAGGGGTTTTACAGCCTTAAAACCAATGTTCCCTCTAAGCTGCGCACTGCTGGCACGGTCTCTACGCACAGAAAATCTGCGTTGCGCACAAAAAAAAAATCTAACCTGAATTGCAATTAAAATTAAAACTTTAACAATTCTGTTTTGCAGTGTTAGTCAGTAAGTGACTGGTTGCTATGGGATTAGAGCGATGCCACCTTATCCCAAAGTCCAGCCAATAATGCGATTCACATTTGTATATACGCAGCTAATCAATGTTGTCGACAGGCTATGACAGCGTCCTTATGTGCCGACACCGGAGTTTTAGCTAGCAAAGCGGCTGATGTGGAGTAAAGCCACGTTAATGACAACGTGTGCAACCATTGGAGATGTGAGCAGGACAGACGGAACAATTGAAGGAAAAAGTGTGGACTTTATACCAGTTTTTAAATTGTGTTGATCGGCCACGTAAAACCAGAGTTAAGATAAAAAAATATAAGCAATTTTTGGTTTCTTCCTGAATACTATCGTTTATATTTACAGTTTTATAAGGAAAACGTTCAAAACACTCTCCGCCTGTGAGCAAAAACAAAACCAAAAAAAAAATCCCACCCTTTCCTATTGGTCGAAAAATGTATCATGTCGACCAATGAAAAAAATGATATGGCAACATTGCATTTAGTTGTTTAAGAAGGGGGAAGTTTTAGGAGTGATGGCGGTGGTTTGAGATGTGAGAGATTTGCAACATTTAGCGCAAATCTTGTGTAGTTAGTGTGTAGTGTAGTCAATAGTTTTGTTGTGTGTGTCAGAACAATGAGGCAACTACTGAAAGTTACAGGTGTTACAGGAGTGATACATCTCCTGTTGTCAGGCCTGCAGGTATCAGGCTGTTGTTCTCCTTTATCTCATAGTGGACAGAAATATTTTTTGGAGTGGCACAAATAATTTGTGTGGCATCAGATTTGATGCAGAACAGCTGATTGTTCTGTAAATAGTTTGAAATGTTTATTTAAAAAATGCCTTGGCTGCATTTTTAGGTAAACAGCTGCAAAAAACTTTGTTTGCATAACTCAGTTACTTTTTTGAAGAACTATATAATTAATTACCCAACATTGGTCATTATATACTGTATTTTGCAGACAGAGAGTTACAAACTCTCTCCCAGACCACAGACTCATAATACAAGTCAGAGCTTTATTTGAAAAAAAAGTTTAAAAAAAAAGTTTATAAGTGTTTATAAATTGGAGTTCAAGTTATTTTTAGTTCCAATAGTGTTAACATACGACACAGGTCATGAACAAGATTCTTTTTTAAAATTTTCATTGTAAGTGAGCTAAAGCAGTTAATTAAAAGTAGTCTAACATAAATGCTGTAATTTGATTATTTTAATAAACCATGTAACTTGGATGGATTCGATGCTGGCGTGACCACAGTGCACACGTCTAATGTTGCTCACAGTGATCCAAGGGTTCGCTCAGGGAGTTTGTGTGTTCGCTCAGACACATGAAAAATTAGAGGGAACATTGCTTAAAAAATTAAAGAATCTAACAGGTTATCTGTTATATGTAGACAACACTGGTTCATCCCTTGAAACTCAAGGAATGGAGAACTATTGCTCAAGACACTTTAAAGAACAGAAGAAAGTGTAGCTCCTTGGAAGCAAAATATTAGTAAGGAGGAGAAATGACTCCAGATTTTTTTTTTTTTTTTTTTACACAGTGCTATATCTCACTGGCTCGTTTTGAGCTTCCATCATGCTTTTGACTCCACATTCCCTGGATTTTTTGTGGGTCTAAGTTGGTGTTCAATCATAACCTAAAAGTGTTACACCCTCCTGTTTTGCTAATGTTATTTTTGAGGTCAGAACAGATGGAGCAAACTCTGCACTTTACTCTGCAGATGCTGTTGGGAAAACAACAGCGTGAAAACCAAAATATTGTGAAATTAATGTGTGAAAGAACCGTGAGAATTATTCACATGGATATTGAAACCTGGCACAGAGAAGCTTTAAATCTCAGTGTAGTGACCGATTCCCTCATGATTTACTCCCTGACTACTTCTGTCTGCAAAATTCTGCCTCTGTGATATGCAGATATTTAGATGCTTGGCCATTTTACGACGAGACAACAGCACTGGGTCGTGGGTTTTCTTCATTTGGCTCTCTTTTTTCCCCCTCTTCTCTCTGACAGCTGTGCTGCCTCCGTGTGAAATTAAAAAGGAAAAAAAAAAGCCATAACGCAGCACATTACTATGCCGTGAAGCAGATGGGAAACCATGCCACACACATGCACTGTCTCAAATTCCTTCGGTTTAGCATTTTTTAAAATTATATCACATTATTTTTGTTGGAGAAATCCTCTTGAACATCCCTGTGGTCACTGAAGAAACAGCAGTAAAAACTTGCTTGCCTGTAAGCAATTGTTTTTTGGGTTTTTATTTTCATCTGTTTTCTTGGCTAGTCTGCCATTAGAACTCAAAAACGGCTCGAGAGGAGAGGAGCGGTCCAGATTCCAGCAGTTCATTTCTCCACCAACGGATGTGTCCAGATGGCCTGGAGAGAGGAGGCCTTTGACTGAGGGACAAAGAGACACTTGTGAACGACAAAATCTAACTCCCGCAAATGCACAGACACACAGAAACGCATACACACACACACAGCTGTGCGGCGTATTGTTCGCCTTCGCTCGGCCGTTAGCTCCCAACATTGATGGAATGTTTGACTGGCCGCCTCTCGCGCCCTTGAGACATGATGTCACTCCAACAAAACGCCATCTTTTCAGAGAGAAATGGCTTTTTATGTGTTCGGGGCCACGCTGTGAAACGCGAGGGGAGAGCAGAGACACGGGGCAGAAAGAGACATTAAGGATGAGAGGAAGCAAGAAAAAGCTAGAGGAAGAGCAACACGGCTATTCTCAGAGCTCGCGATAAATCGAAAGGCTGGTTTGATGACAGTTGTGACAAGCCATTAAACCGGGGTGCAAAGTCCCATTTTGGCCTGCCACAATGATACAGGAGAATGCAGAGGGTGAGCGTGCTGTAAATGTGTCAGAGTTTTGACTGTACAGTGGATTTCTCCTCGACATAATTTTCACTGGAAACGATGCTACTCTGATAAAATAGATTAGCAATAAAGATGCAAAAGGGAATAAAATAAGAGATAGATGCATACCTTTAAATATTCCCAAAGCGGAAACTGAACCAGAGAGAATGGGATCTGAAAAAAAGAAAGAAGGCAGAGTGTTAATCATCGTCATTATGTCAGCATTAGTTTTTCATTTTCTGGAGGTTCAGGTTTCATCTTTAACCTCTAATCTCTTACACTTGTCATTCCTGCCACCTTTCTCTATTTCCTCTAACTCGTCTGACTGCTCCCTTGTTCCTTCTCAGTGCTGATGATTAATGAATGAGACGGGCTGTGGTCTGGCAGTCCTGACAGACGGATGGATGGATGTATAGATGGAGCAAAGTTGGAGAGAGGAATAGAGGGATGAGGGGATGGTGGGAGTGTGTGTGTTGCTGCTGGAAAGACTAAATTGGCTCAGGCAGGAAGTTACAGTGGAAAGAAATCGATGGCAGTGCCAAGGCGAGGTGCAAATGACATGCAGTCAGACCACACACACATTCTCGCTTTCTCTCACACACACGGACATAGGAACGAGTATACTTTCTCCATTTGTGTACTGAGCAAACAAATAGAGAAAACACACACGCGCACATATCCTGTCATCCTGCAGTGGACGAAGACAGGCAAGACAGGAAAAAACAAAAGCAAAGGAAGAAATAAATAAAGTGACAGTGAGTTGTGTCATCGGGCTTTGATCACATATACAACAGGATCGTTCATCCATCCCAACCGCCCCCTCCAACATGTTCCATCAGACCATGTTAGCACATTGGCAAAAACTGAGTCAGCCAAAGCACAAAGACAATGCACCAAGTGTGTTTACGCCACCTAATGAGCTTAGTCCAAATGCACTGACCTCATATAAACACTCATTCTGAAGTAGATTCAATTAAAGGGCATCTGCTTTTTAAGAGTTTAATATAAGACTTTTAAAGATCTTCATAGAGGCCAGAGTTTCATTAAAGCCTTTTGAAAACAAAAAAACAAAGTAAAGACATAAAGCTGTCAAATTGAGTGCAAATTCAACTAAGTGGAGGAAATTGAGTTTCTGAGATGAGCTGATAAAAGACCTAATGCAAGTATGACAAATAAAAAACATGAGATAGTATTACGAAGGGGGAGAGGGTGGAGGGTGGAGGTGGGAGGGGTACAGATTCAAACTTAAAGAAACACCTACTGAATAAAACCAGACATCCATGACAGGTTAGAGCTGTTACTGATACAAACATTTTACCAGCAGTTGAGTACAAATGTAAGTAATCCCCATAACACTGTCCCACCCACACAGGCACTGCAGCTACATCTGAACTCACCTAGACCCTTATCTCTCTCTCTCTATCTTCTGCGTTAGTGCAGTTACTACACAAGCATTAAAGCTGAAAATACTGCAGGTGGCGTTTGACTTTTTCTTGATAAATGGGCCTGGCATGTGCAAGGACAGAAATCTTCACCCATCTGGTCTATCTGTGCAGACAGAAGCAAATTCTCTCACTCCTCTAAGATTATCTAAAAAAAAAAAAATGTTTTTGGGACATATTGGAAACCTGGTATCCAGCCCCCAGAAAGTGGAGTGTTATAAAAGTGCACCTGTGTTTTATTACCACCCTGATGAGTTCTGCTATTCCAGGCTGGGAAAAGAGACGGACAGAGAGAGAAAGAGGGAGTAAAGGAGAACGGGGAGGTTGGAGGGGTAATGGGTACTGCTGCTGAGTGCAAGGGGAACATATTGTACTGATATGAGTCAAAGTAAACTGAGAGTTAAGTAAACACATCCTGACAGGTTTTATATTTATATTTTATACTAGAATTCTTGTGCAAAACTACTGTAACGTCACCTTAAATAAGGCACAGATAGATGCAGCACTGATAAAGCGACACTAACTTCTGTTTACAAACTGAAAAAAGCATTAATTATCAAAAACTTAATTTGCAAAATTTCATCCAAAAAATAAAATAAAAAACCTTGGTTGCAGTGAGTGCAAAGACAGAGAGAGCAAGCGAGACAAAGACAGATGGCTTCAGCAGAGGATCTGGAAAGAATGATCCACCGGTGATTTATGGCTCGCTTTGACACTCCTGGCACACTGAGCTGGAGAGGAGTGCTCGTTTTTTTGAGCGCGTTGCCCGGCAAAGATGAAACATCTGAAAAACCACATGAGGTCTGATTAAAATCGATGAGTAATTTCTCATTAAACCGAGGAACTGGGAAGACGTACCAACCTGACTCCATGTGACATTTAGAAAAATGTCTGCTTGAGTTACAAAATCAAGAACGCAGGCTGGAGGACATATGAGCTAACGGCTATAGAGTTGTTTCTACAGCACTAATGTGAGGTTCTGCACTTCTACTGTAATGCTTTAACCTGAGGTTGCTGTAGTGTCAGAAGGAGATCAAAGAAGGAATAAATTTTGAAGATAGGTAGAGACAGAATGGGAAGCTGAAAACAACAAAGGGGACTGAACATGTGTTTCTGCTTTCCCTTCTGCTTCTTAGACCATGGAGAAGAACTAAAAACACAAGCAAGACTTTGGGGAAAGAAAAAAAAAGCCCAGAAGAGAAATTTATTTTCCATTGTTGGGAAGAGACAGACATGCACATCATGTCACACCTGACTGACTCCCTGTCACTCACAAACTAAGTGAAAGTTCAAGTCAGTGCTGAGTGGGACAAACTGTTTTAAACTCTGTCCCGTATAAAGATGAAGTCTGATGACCTCCTCTGTACCCTTAATGATGAGTTTTGACCCTCGATATAATTCAATGCAGACGCAGTTGGACGTCTTTCTTGAGCGGAACCCTCACTAACAAGCACATCCAGTCAGAAACAGTTTCAAGGGTTACAGAGTTGAAACCTGCACCACGTTATAGAAAGGGTGAGAGAAACCTAACATATTCTATAAGTCACAATTTCACCAATAACACTGTAATCAGATAAAGAGGGGCCTAAAATATTCAACTGCTATCCTCTGGAAAACATGACTATGACTATTCTTCAGGGATAATGTATGACTGTTATTATTCAGTTGGATCATTGTGCAAGTTGGGAAGTACTTTTTTTACAGATTTTTTTTTTGGACCGTTAGCTCTCTGCAGTGCTGGTGGAAAAACTTTTAAAAAAAGCCCAACTGGCTTTTATAGGTGAAGGAGGGACAGTAAAAGTAGCATAAAAACAAATTTACCATTAATCCCTCATGAAAATATCTTACACTTAACTCTCGATATTGAACAAATGATTGTTTAGTACTGTTCTGTGCACTGCTGCTTTTAAAGGGTTGCAGGTGCTAAATTTCAAGGCACACTTTACCAAAGTGTTTGCCAGTGGGCAAAAAGAGCATGGTTTTGATATTCTAAGTTACAGACACGTCCGCCACAAGTGTTGAGGGCACATTTAGACCTCAGCTATGTCATGCTAGACTAACACAAGGCCATGCAGGCATCCAGGGTTATTCTAAGGCTGGTTAGGATGAAGGCAGCCAAGCTGCATAAACTCCATACTCCCCCACGGTGCTAACTGCTCACTCTGTCTCATCCCACCGCCTCATATAATGCCTCAGCTACCATAGGCTATTCAGTAGGGGTGGGGGAAAAAATCGATACTGTGTAGTATCGTGATATTTTGTTTGCTAATAATGTATCGATACAGGGACAGCAGAAATCGATATTTTGTTACAAAAAAAGTTTTTGTGGACTGGAACAAGAGCATGTTGATCCTTTTTCTGAGCAAGAATCCTGACATTCCTTCACTGTCCAAATGTGTTTAACTTTTTTTTTTTGGCAGCAATAAACATGTTTTATTTTAATCAAGTTTAAAACTTTTTTATTTAATGTAAAATTATATTTTGTTTTAATTTACCTTCAAATTCTTCAGTTGCTGAATGGGCTGCATAGTTTTCATAAATTGCATAGTTCAGAATAGCTATAATTGTACCAGATGGTTGCATTCAGTTAAGTTGGACTAGACTGTAATACAAACCGTTCAGTTTGTCAACAATAAAACTGAAATGAGAGAAAGACTGAATGTGAGACTTTGTTATTAGATAAAATGAATATTGATAAAATTTACCTTTATTTACAGAATCTGAATATTGCAAAATATTTTTAAAAATTGCAATAATATCGTATCGTGCGTTAAGTATCGTGATAATATCGTATCGAGGGATGTATGGTGATTCCCACCTCTACTATTCAGCTCTGTGAAGCCAAGTTAACGTGTGCATGTGATTATCCTAATAAACATGACTTAATGAATTCCTTTAAATGGAAAAGAAAGTTAGGATTATCAGGCCACACAGGCGAGGAGAATCGCATCATTATCTCATCAATTAAGGTTCAATTTAAGAGCTAATTAAAAAGAGGAGATCTTGTTTCCTTGTGTTTTTTATTTGACATGGAAGTCACAAATGAGTAGCTGTTTGTTAAAGTGGGATAAAATACTTCCCTGAAGGCTGAGAACTAGTATTGTTTATGTCCACTGAAAAAGACTGAGGTTTTTCTCTGCTTGCCAACATTTTACTAGCTCAACCCCAGCTTGAGCCAATCAGTAGACTTCTATGGCTGCACGGGCTACAACCAAATCATAACCATGGAGACGAACACACCCAGTGCAGTAACCACGTTGTTGAGGTCTACAAACATGAACTATCGCTCGACATTAAAATAAGGACACACATGCTTAAGGAGCAGAGGCAAATAATTTCAATATTTTAACCAGAAAACGCATCATAAACCTTCCAGTTTATGATGTATTTCCAGCTCTTGCTGCACTGCCCAACAGTATCTACTCCAAAAACATCTGTGCATTCAAGCAATCCTCCAGGGACAGGACTCCACGCCTGACAAACAAACAGGGTCCTCACTCAGACCCGTTATCCTGCATATGCATGCCTTAGTTGTTGTTTTTTTGTATGAATACATTGGCGTGCTTAACCATATTCTTGCTTATGTGTGCGCGTGTGTGTATCAAGAGCAGCGTTCTGTTTTCTCGCTGATGTATTTCGCAAATGATCAAAAGTGACAGTGCCACTTGCTGTGACTGTCAGGTACGATATAATGCAAATATGGAGATTGCGTCTGCTGTGTCATTCTGCTGA